GGAGCAGGAGGAGGAGGAGGAGGAGGAGGAGGAGGAGGAAGAGGAGGAGAAGGGGGCCAGGAGTCGGCGTCCTGCACACTCTCTCCTTTATTTTCTGCGTTTGACGGACTTTGGCGGCCTGGCTGTGGCGCTCCAGTGGGGCATCGAGACGTAACACCCCGCAATTGCGGGTGAGAGTGAGGGGGCGGGCGCGGGCGACGCGGGCGTCGGCCCGGCGGACCGCCGCAGTCTCCGAATTTTTGGCTTGTTCGGTGAACGTAACGGTCGCGGGTGGGTCGCGGGCTCTCCACCTCCACCTGGAAACAATTCAAAAAAACAGCCCGCCGCAGGCGCCGATAATTTTGATTTGTGCGCTGAACGCGGTTTGGGTCGCAGGTTCTCCACCTGGAACGAATGCAAGAGAAACCCGCTGCAGGCGCCGAAGTTTTGGCTTGTTCAGTGAACGTAGTTTGGGTCGGGGGTGGGTCGTGGGCTCTCAACCTCCACCTGGAAGGAATTCAAAAACAGCCCGCCGCAGGCGCCGAAAATTTGGATTTGTACACTGAACGCGGTTGGGGTCGCGGGTGGGTCGCAGGTTCTCCACCTGGAACGAATGCAAAAGAAGCCCGCCGCAGGCGCCGGAAATTTCGGGTGGGTCGCGGGGTGGGTCGCGGGTGGGTCGCGGGTGGGTCGCGGTGGGTCGCGGGTGGGTCGCGGCGCGGTTTGGGTCGCGGATGGGTCGCAGGTTCTCCACTTGGAACGAATGCCAAAGAAGCCCGCCGCAGGCGCCGAATATTTTGGGTGGGTCGCGGGGTGGGTCGCGGGTGGGTCGCGGAGTGTCGCGGGTGGGTCGCAGGGGGGGTCGCGCGGTGGGTCGCGGGTGGGTCGCCAGGGGGGTCTCGGGGTGGGTCGCGGGCGGGTCGCGGGGTGGGTCGCGGGTGGGTCGCGGGTGGGTCGCGGGTGGGTCGCGGGTGGGGTCGCGGGTGGGTCGCGGGGTGGGTCGCGGGTGGGTCGCGGGTGGGTCGCGGGGTGGGTCGCGGGTGAGTCGCGGGGCGGGTCGCGGGTGGGACGACGACACAAACAAACAATCAACAAACAACAAACAACACGTAACAAACAATAACAACAACAACAACAATAATAACAACAACGACAACTACACCAATAACAGCAGCAACACCACCAACAACAAACACCAGCACCACCACCACCACCACCAACAACAACAACAACGAAACACAACAACAACAACAACAACAACAACAACAACAACAACAACCACTACACCAATCACAACAACAACAACAGCACCACCAACAACACACACCAGCACCACCACCACCACCAACAACAACAACGAAAAACAACAACAACAACAACAACAACAACAACAACAACAACAACAACAACAACAACAACAACAATTACTAGCACGTGGGGACACTCCGTTCTCACCAGTGCCAGGGTTTTCATAGGAGGCGGGCAATACCCCCACTTTGTGGGGGGGCCGGTTCAAGCTCTACCAAATTTCCAAACGACTCTTCGCCACCACCCACACCCAGCTTCCCGCCCTATGACGTTCGGACACTTCACTTCGTGGCATGCGGACGACCGTGGCTACTATTCAGGGCCCCGCGGCCGACGACGACGGCGTGCGCGCGCGAAGAAAAAACGAATGTGTCCCGCATGGTATTATTTGACAGGGATGATGGCCCTGGCAGGTGCGCAACCGTTGTTGCAGAAGTTCGAAAAAGTTGCTCGCAAAAGCCCGTTTGACAGAAATGTTTAAAAAGTGTGGGGTTTCCTACGAATCCGCAAGAGCGCGCGGGCAACAAGAAAAATAACAACAACAACAGCATCAACAACAACAACTACTACAACTACAGCTACAACTACAACTACAACTACAACAACAGCAACAGCAACAACAACAACCACAACAACAACAGCAGCAACAACAACAATAATAATCCGCATCGCGGAATTCCACTTCAGCCACGCACCCAGGGACAGTGAATGACCGTTCGGTTCAGCCCCCCCACTCTGATAAAAGTTAATGCGCTGACTTACGCCTTTGGTCGCAAATCCAACCAAACATGGTAAGTGATAAGGAGCCCATGTGGGCGCAGAGTTCTTCATCCTACGGTCGGACCGAGGGATAAGATCGAGGTCGGCTCGGGGAGGATGTCCTAATGTGTTTCGTGTTTGTTGGGTGTTGTTGTGCATCCCGGGGGCGGCACCCTCGAGTGTTCGTCAGTTTGGCCGGCAGAGGCCCCATGTTCTTGAAGGATGTTTTTCTGTCTTGGGTCTGGCCGTGCTCCTTTTCCTCCTCCCCCAGCGGGATCAGAGGTGCGCCCAACGTGTATGGCGACACTCGTCACATGTGCTATGATTTCGGGCTGTCGTGTGGCTGTGCGTACCCAGACGCACAATGTGCATGTTCGTCCACGTGCGCTTGCATGTGCGTTTACGTACGCTTGCACATAGTTCAGTTAAGCACAGTTGCCCTGATTCTACCTGTCCGTATGCAAACACGTGTCCGTAACATGCGGTTGGGCCCGACGACATGTGCGTGGCCATCCAGCTCGCCGCTGCCCCTCCCGTCCACGCCAACGCTTGTGGGAGGTCATCGTGGTTTTCGCGCCCCCGATGACTGGCACAGCGGAGGACCGTAGTCCAGTTCGAGGTGAGGTTAATGCGGATGAGCAGCAGCAGCACCAACATCTGAGCAGGGTACGTAAGAGGGAGGTGAGGTGTGGGAAGAGAGCGAGACGAGAAACAAGAGAAAAGAGAACGCACGGGAGAGCAAGCAACGGAAATGAGGAAGTAGGAGAATGGAGGAGTGAAGGAGGAGGAGGAGGAGGAAGAGGAAGAACGGGAAGAGGTGAAGGTGACGAAGGAGGTGACAACTTACGACGAGGGTAGCGGGTGAAGTAGCTCGAGAAGAATGTGCAGGCGCAAGAGGAGAAGGAGGAGGAGGAGAAGAAGGAGGAGGAGGACGCTCGCATTGTGACTTCAGTGTTGCTTGCTGCTGCGGAGTTGGAGCCACGGACCAACCGCGTGGGTGTGCAATACATGTCCCAGACAAACCGCAAGATGTTTCCGAATTCGCTCGGGCATGTAGCCATCGGCAGTGACCTCCTACGGGTCCTCCCAATTGAATGATCGGAGGTTCATAAAGCAGGCCCCTGTGCCAGTGCGCTGATGACTATATCCTTATCCGCTATCTCGAAGCTCTGGGAGGAGGAGGAGGAGGAGGAGGAAGAGGAGGACGACGACGACGATAACAGCCAGGGTAATGAGGAGGAGGAGGAGGAGGACGACGACAAGGACGACGAGGAGGAAGGGGTCGAGTGCAGGGATGGTCAGCGAATGAGGCCGCGCTGCTCGATTCTGGCAGAAGCCCTGCGCACAGGTCTCAAGCAAGACCTGATTCAGCGACGGCGGAGGAGGAGGAGGAGAAGGAGGCCTTCCCAGGTGGTAGCACCCTGGGCAATCATGGCAGTAGGAGTTGGCGCCCGCCGACCGAGTTGCACCTGGAAGCCCCACGAGAAGTCAGAAGAGAAGAAGAAGAAGAACGAGGGGGTGAGGGAGTGGGAGAATATTCGCCCCCTTGCATGCGCCCACCCCCTTGCTCTCCCAGTTCGTCCTCTTCCTTGCCTCTTGTTCGTCCATTCCGAGACGTGTGGCTTCCAAGTTTTCAAGCGCGGGAGGTGTTGTCGACAGTCCGGCCGCACACACACACACACACACACACGAAAGTACCAGTCGATCTGCCGACACGCTGAGTGTCTCAGGCTTGCGAAACACAAGGGGAATATTCGAGGGATGTCCGCTGCAGGAGAATCCGCCGGACGAAAAGTACCCCGGCTAGGTCCCTGATCACTCCCGGGCCACTTCCGGCCCACTCCCAGGCGATCCCCCCAGAGCGCCCCACGGGAGGGCCATGTTTCGACATCCTTCGCGGGGATCGTGGCCTCCGAGGGGGGACCCACAATCGACTACCTCCCCCTCCTGCCCCAGGAGGCCCCCAAGAGCCCCCCAAGAGGCCCCAGGGGTCACCAAGACACCGCCAAGAGGCCCCCAAGAGACCGCAAAGAGCGTTCCAGGGCCGGCGGACTGGGCGAAGCGATTTATATACGGGGGATCTTCGAGGGACGTCCGCTGCAGGAGAACCTCAGCAGCATCGTGGCCAGCTGCAACGAGAAGAACCACAAGTTCCTTGTCAGCGCCAGCTTCGGTGAGAACGAGGACCCTGTCGACTCCATCGTCTCGCGGTTCGTACAGGCTCCAGGGGGGCGGGTCGCACCGAAGGGCCCGATCAAACGAAAAGAAGGATGAAGAAAGGCAACCACCGAGTCTACCCCGTTGGCACATCCAGTCCTGGCGCTCTGGAGCTGCAACTCGGCGGCGAGCGAGGGGGGGGAAATGAGAAGGAGAAGGCCTTATCAGAAGGCGGCGGGGCTTTTCAAAAGCCCTCGCACCTTCTGCTTCGGGGAACGCTCCGGAAACTTCTCAGAAGGCCCGGGGGGGACTTCCGAACCTTCTGAGAAGGCCTTCTCCATTGCACTTCCCCTCCTCGCTCGCCGCCGAGCAACAGCAAAGCATAGCATGTTACTAATCGTCGCTTGCCCACTCAGTGATGGGATCCCACCCTTCGACTTCACCCGTCGGGCTTGTCACTCTGCCGACGTGCGCGCGGCGCCCGCTTCTCTGCAGCGGGCAGATGCCGCCACGCACCGTCGGCGTGGACCTCCTACGTGTGTCGAGTGTACTGAGCGATGCGCATCTTGCTCCCACTCATTCTCTCTCTCTCTCTCTCTCTCTTGTAGCATTTTGTTCCTAACAGCGAAGACTGATAGGTTTCTAGTGGGCTCAAAAGAGAGCAACTTGACTCCCCAGCGGGGTCTGGGCGGATGCCGGGGAGAATCCGGGGACTCCCCGGGACTCCCCAGGGGGGTTTGGGCGGGTGCCGGGGAGGATCCAGGGACTCCCCAGAACACCACTCCCAGGCCACATTTTGAATGCCTGGAGTCAACTGTAGGCCACTTCGTGTTCCTCGTGTTTCCAGAACACCATTCCCAGGCCACATTTTTAATGCCCGGAGCCAACTGTAGGCCCTTTCGTGTTCTTCGTGTTCCCAGAATACCACTCCCAGGCCACATTTTGAATGCCCGGAGCCAACTGTAGGCCACTTCGTGTTCTTCGTGTTCCCAGAACACCACTCCCAGGCCACATGTTGAATGCCCGGAGCCAACTGTAGGCCACTTCGTGTTCTTCGTGTTCCCAGAACACCATTCCTGTACCATATTTTGATTGCCCGGAGCCAACTGTGGGCCACTTCGTGATCTTCGTGCTGACACCAGTCCTGTGCCATATTTTGAATGCCCGAGCTGAGGCAGGCTGAGGCCGAGGCAGGCTGAGGCTGAGGCAGGCTGAGGCTGAGGCTGAGGCACGCCGAGGCAGGCTGAGGCTGAGGCTGAGGCAAGCTTAGGCTGAGGCAGGCTGAGGCTGAGGCTGACGCAGGCTGAGGCCGAGGCAGGCTGAGGCTGAGGCTGAGGCAGGCTGAGGCTGAGGCAGACTGAGACTGAGGCTGAGGTAGGCTGAGGCTGAGGCTGAGGCTGAGGCTGATGCAGGCTGAGGCTGAGAGGCTGACGCTGAGGCTGAGGCAGGCTGGACAGGCTGAGGCTGAGGCTGAGGATGAGGCAAGCCGAGGCAGGCTGAGGCTGAAGCTGAGGCAGGCTGAGGCTGAGGCTGTGGCTGAGGCCGAGGCAAGCTGCGGCTGAGGCAGGCCGAAGCTGAGACAAGGTGAGGCTGAGGCTGAGGCAGGCTGAGGCTGAGGCTGAGGCAGGCCGAGGCTGAGGCTGAGGCCGAGGCAGGCTGAGGCTGAGGCAGGCTGAGGCTGAGGCTGCAGGCTGAGGCTGAGGCTGAGGCAGGCTGAGGCTGAGGCTGAGGCTGAGGCCGAGGCAGGCCGAAGCTGAGACAAGGTGAGGCTGAATGGGGGGGGGAAGGGGGGGGGAGGAGGGGAGGCTGAGGCAGGCTGAGGCCGAGGCAGGCTGAGGCCGAGGCAGGCGGCAGGCTGAGGCTGAGGATGAGGCAAGCCGAGGCAGGCTGAGGCTGAGGCTGAGGCTGAGGCTGAGGCTGAGGCTGAGGCTGAGGCTGAGGCTGAGGCTGAGGCTGAGGCTGGCTGAGGCTGAGGCAGGCTGAGGCTGAGGCTGACGCAGGCTGAGGCCGGGGCAGGCTGAGGCTGAGGGTGAGGCAGGCTGAGGCTGAGGCCGAGGCAGGCTGAGGCTGAGGCTGAGGCAAGCCGAGGCAGGCTGAGGCTGAGGCTGAAACTGAGGCAGGCTGAGGCATCCCTAGGAATCCATAGGAATCCTTAGGAATCCCTAGGGATCCTTAGGAATCCGTAGCCATCCTTAGGAATCCGTAGGCATAGTTAAGCAGAACCCTTAGAATTCCCTGGGAATCCTTAGGATTCCATTGGATCCTAAGGCCGTTGCCACTGCGACTGCCATTGCGACTGCGACTGCGACTGCGAGAACAACAGAATTCTACAACTGGATCCTCACCTGAATCTAAGGGGAATGCTTCCAGATATGCTTATACACATCGGTGTTAGGTTGCTTTGCCGGGATACTTTGTCGTTGTTTAATGTTTATTTCTCCCTCTCTCTTTTGTAGCATATGGCGTTCTCTCTCTCTCTCTCTCTCTCTCTTTCTCTCTCTCTCTCTCTCTTTCTCTCTCTTACCCGATGTCTCATGTTCTGTATCTCCCACTCTCTCTGTCTCTCTCGCTGTCTACTTCTCTGCCTTTCGCCCTCTCGTTTTCTGACTCTCTCTGTCTCTCTCTCTCTCTCTTGCTCTCTCATGGCCCTGGCTCGATTGTTGCCTGCTTTCTGGCAGAGCCCCCGCTCAACCTTTCGGCGTGGCAAGAGTAGGGTGGGAAAGTAGACTCGGGGGGAAACGCGTCGATGTCCAATCGCCCTTTGACCTTCGATTTGAGCTTGAGAGCCCACCCCACCCAGGAACGCGAGCATTCGCGAGTGGGGCCCTAACGCCGATATGTCGGCGATGTTTCGCCCATGGAAGCTCGATGCCTTCATGCTTCCCAAGCCAGGCGCCCCCCCCCATCGGTACGCCTCATAGCATCAGGTAGTGGGTGGGGCATGGGCCTGGCGCAGAAAGAAATTGGGCGACGTGGCATGGCGCATCCCAGGTTCCCCGAATTGCACGTTCGACGATTATTGTTCGCATGTCTGGAGCTGAGATTGCGAAGTACGGCTCCCTCTCCCAAGCAAACCTCCTTATCGTGTCTACGGCATCGTAATGCTGCGACGCAGCTCGCCCACTCAGCAGCGACTGGCAGGCCGCACGGCGCCCTGCTATTTCTTCGACGGAGCGTGCGCGCCATGCAATCGCACGGCCTGGCACTCCGCTCCTGCTTCCCCCAAGGGAGGCTTGGCTGCCTTGACCGCCCAGAGGGGGTCCTCCTCCCCTGCCGATCGAGGCTCGGCGCCGTCGTCGTCCTCCAACTCCTCCTCCTCTTCCTCTTCCTCCTCCTCCAGCCGTGTCGGCCCAGGAGTCCTGGGCTTGCACGAGTGCGCTTCGACGCGGGTCGTTCGGGCGGGCCACGGATGGCGGGAAAGCATCCTTCCTGGCCGTGTGGGAACTGTGCGGGGGTGTATGGCACGGCGCTCGCCAACCAACGCCTTCCGCGACCACCGCCTGCGCTGCGGCAAGCAGGCGCCGTGAGGCGTGTTCGAAAAAAAAGAAGAAGCTGCCAGGACAAGGTGGCCTGCAAAAGGCTCCATGGCACAACACGAACAGGTGGGAGGACGGTCCACCTGCTTCGCTACGTGCGCAAGGCCGAGACGAGCAAAAGCAGCCACCAGCGCCAACCCCAGTTGACCAGGCAACGGCGAAAGCAATGCTTGAGACAATGGCCAAGGCGCATTGAGACGACAAATCACAGTGGCCAGGTCAGGCGCGGAGTACGGTGCAGGTCTAGGACAAATCACTGTTGGACAAGCAGGCTGAACACCAACCCGCGGACATCACCAGGCGCAGTTCTGTCCAAGTGGGACAGCGCCTGGAGGACACCAAGAAGAATATCGTCAAGTCCGAGGAGCGGCCCATGGAGCGTGAAGGGGGAATTCCAGCGGGCTCTGGAAAGCCGAGACGCTGAGCAGCATATCCTGAACAACCATACGTTCAACAGGCAGCAGCTCGAGAAGGCGATGACTGAGGCCTTCCTTCGCGAACAAGCCAGTGGAGCAGAGCATCCCGCACTGCAGCTCTTCGGCAAGGTCGTGGACGGAGGTCCAGCGCGCAGCGGGCGACAGCGATGTGCCTGAGTGTCTTCGGGCCCCGTTGCAAGCCTTGCAGCAGGCGATCGAGGTGCACAACCAGCTGCGAACGCAACAGGAGGAAGAAGCTGTGGGTGCGAATGTTCAGCAACAACATGATGCCCCTGCTGCTGATGATGGTGCAGTTGATACACCCATGGTTATCCCAGATGAAGCCCCAGCCCCTGATGATGAAGACCTGGAAGAGATCTTCGCGGACCGCGGCCTCAAGCTCGATGGAGACTTGGAGCAGGATGAGGTCAAGCGCGCCACGGATGCCAGAGAGAGACTTCGTCGTCAGTTTGCAGCAGCGGCTGAAAACAACAAAAAATGGAGAACGGTGCGGGCCCTAGCTGCTACTGGGGGCGCCTCAGCCTGAGGCGCCTGCGCTCGCGAGCACCTGGGGCCAAGTGCTGCAGACAGTGGGCGACGCCAAGTCCACAGTGCAGAAAATGAGTTCGAGTTAGAATATGCTTCGTCAGTAGGGCTGCGTATGCAGGCCCATCTCTTGGATTGCATCAACAGCCTTGGACCAGCTCTGGCCAGGTGGAGCGCCGCCCCATTGGGGACTGCGGTGGCCACAGCGACAAATACGAGCAGTGAAGTAACAGTTGGATTATCATCAGTGGTGCCCGTGGGCCCTCCGTGTGCCACGGGCCCTCGTTCTGCCGTCGGCCCCGCCGCGGGCGGAGGAGTCGCTGTCGGCGCTCGGCTGGGGGGGCGCGCCGCTGCAGGTGAAGGCGCAGCGCGGGCGGGGCCGCCGATGGCAGGGGGCGCGGCGCACTGCGACCGCCCTATGGAGGTGGGCCAGCTCGGCGCGGATCACGCGCCGCAGCCGCAGGAGGGGCTGGGGGAGGCGCGCCAGAGCGGGCCCCGAGCATAGGCGGAGCCAGGACGCTCGCGCCTTGAGCGGCAGGACCAGCGCCCCCACGTCGTGGAGGAG